GGACCCCCGTTCAGTCAAAATCCCTATTAATTGCATTTTTGTACAGTTTTGAACATTTGGAAACAGTAACAGGCAGTATTGTAAACCAAAGTATGACCAACATCTGTAAATACATTTAGCCCCTGAAATTTAGTACACTTGCAAAAAATAAAAAAAGGGTTCTGAACAAATACCATGGTAATATGGTATTAATATGGTAAACATTCAGTACTATGGTATATATCAAAGTATAACTGCAAACATTTCTATGCAAATAAATGCATTATTGATTCATTAAAATATTACCATTGGGTACCACTGGGGAATGAAGTTTCTCAGGCACACACTCAACACTCTTTTTTTCATAACATAGATGTCTACAGATCATAAGTTGCAGTCCATCTCTTAAGCATGAGATGATGCATTCTTAATGTATGTGGGGGAGTTTGAGTTGTTTAATGTCTTTGGAAGAAGATACATAGGCAGAGAACAAAATGAATCGGCAGGGACTTCACTGTGCACAGAACCCTTTTCAGAAGATATGAATAGAGTACATGAAACATTACATGTTCACGTATTAAAAGGGGAGTAGTGGTCGACCGATATATCGCCATGGCCAACATATCAGCTGATATTTTACATTTGCTTATCGCCATCGACTGATAAGTTTTTCTGTTTTGCCAATATGTCGAAAGTGAAACTTTTATTTTGACAGCCGTGATTAATCTCCGTCTTCTTTAGTTTACATTCTCTGTTTAACAGTTCTGTCTTATAAGTTATTATATTACACGTTATTATACCTATTATATGTTATTACTGTATGACATAAGTATTGTATTGTTTTTCCTTTTTCATTATTAGTAATGTTGACTAATAATAATTTAGATAAATAAGATCATTTAAGATAAGGTTGTTTTGCTCTCAACACACACTGGTCTTGGTCTTGACTTGGTGACTACAACCCTAATTATTAACAATAGAAAGGCAAACACTAAAGTATTATAGTGCCTTTCTATCTCATCTACGGTCAGCATTCAGCAAATACACATTTATATAATTTAAACAAGTGTTTGAATATCTAATAAACTTTTAATTACAAAAACCTTGCAGACTTAGTCGAATCCAGCTGTCAGATCATCTGAAGTGTGCATTTGTAAATGTGTAGGCCTACTCTGTGCGTGATGGTCGGTCCGTGCGAAACAGGACAGTTTAGCTGTCACTTGTTGAGACACACGATCGACAAACTTTAAATCCTTCTATTAGAATCCTCATTCTAAATGTTGTATTTCGCCTGTTCTAAAAGAGAATTTTTTTTCCCATTTGTCAGAAAGTGCCACTATAGATACAAATCCTGTTTCAAATTTCCATTCAATTTTGGCTAAAATCTGATCATTGAAATGCATTTGGAAGTGTCTGTAATTAAACTCTTCATCTTACAGTAACAGTCTCACCCCATGTCATATGACGTGAGCGTGAAGATGGATTGTCACCGATGGCCATCTGATTTCATATAACATGATTTTGTCTCAATGAGGTGTAATCAAACACCAAATACATGAACTACACCTCTCTGGTGTCAAAGGCAATGTCGCTAAAGCAAAAAAAAAAAAAAGATCTGTCTGATAAATTTCATGTGGTCTTAGAAATCTAAATCTGTATCAATAATATGGAGCGAATTATGTGCCAAAACCTCACACACACACAAAACGTGTTTTACTCACACCCAATGATTCACAAACAAACTCAATGTGGTTTGTAAATACGAAACATCACTCACAAACTAATGCATATTGTTCTGCAAATAAAAAACGTACCTATCAAACAAATACAGTGTGTTTTACATATACATAGAAACGTATTTCTTCAATGACAAAAATATCATCCAAGTACAAACTAAAATCTTTCAAGTACAAAACAAAATTCTACAAGTACGAAACAAAAATCTTCAAGTAGCCTACAAAGCAAAATTCTACAAGTACAAAACAAAATTCTACAAGTACAAAGCAAAATTCTACAAGTACAAAACAAAATTCTACAAGTACAAAACAAAATTCTACAAGTACAAAACAAAATTCTACAAGTACGAAAAACTGTCACGTGATTTTTGACACTATTTTTCCGTGTCCAGGCAGATTTTCTCACAAATGCAGTTGAGCAACTTCCTCTTCTAGAACAGTAGATGGCGCTAAGATAGGGGATCAATTTCGCGCTAGTCTCTGGGGAGAAACACTGATGTGAAACGCGTGCTTGCCTTTGCCCATGGGAAAATGAGCGGTGAACAGGGGTGTTTCTGTCTTACTTTATCTATAATTTACCTTATTGAGGTTTTGGTAAATGTTTATTATATAGACAGAAATCCACATCACTTAGTAGCACTCCACTAGGATAAGGGAATCTATAAACTGAAAGCTCTGCCATCATGTTGCTTTTTACATTTTTGTAAAAACGTTTCATTTACTGAATGAGTCTATTTCTTTCGTTCTCCATAAATTAATGAGAACATTTCATTTAATTGAAAGGGTCCCACTTATTCATTAATTTAGTTGGAATTCAGTCAGCGTAACTGTTAATGTAATAAAATAATGAATGAACAAAACAAACAATATACAATTGTTTCTTAACTTCCCTGTGACGTATTGCTCAAACTATTATTTTGGACAGACAAATGAAACCCTCCTTTCAATTAAATTAAATGTTCTCATTAATTTATGGAGAACGAAAGAAATAGATTCGTTCAGTGTACATAATCACTAATTTAGTAATTTCACACGCGTCTTATGTGGATTTTTTTTTTAAAAGCAACATATGATCGAGCTTTCAGCTTAGATTCCCCTAGAGAGAGTGAAGTGCTACTAGCGGTAATATGGATTTTTGTCTAGATGTAATAAACATTTTGCAAAAGAAAACCTCAATAAGGTTAATTAGATAAAGTAAGACAGAAACACACCTGTTCACCGCTCATTTTCCTCAGCTGTAGGCAGTGTTGGGAAAACATAGGCTATTTCGTTACAGAATACATGCCCAAAAATGTAATTTGTAACGTATTCCTTTACATTACTCAATCTGAGGGATTACGTCCGCATTGAATTGCCTTTTATAAATGTAAGAATGCGGCAATCTTATCCTGCTTACTAAACAGGCCTATTCTGGTGGGTGCGGTGGTGACGCGTGTACCATGTAGGGTGGCACTGCCAATAAAGTACCTTAAAGCTGTCACAAAGAACCGGCAAAAGATTATGAATATGTAAAATATAGCAAGGAGATATTTTAATTGTTTATTAATAAACAAGTGTATTCTTTGTCAGTGTGTCGGCTGAAAACATGAAGTTGACGATGCTGACTCGCGATCCTTGCAGTGAACGCGCCAGGATTACATAAGCAGAGAGCAGTCTGTAGTCTTTTTTCTTTCGTTTTGAATTGTTCGTTTAAAAGTAGACATGTCTGTGAGAGAGGCTATATAGTTTGTAGATTGAGTAATGTAACGGAATACGTTACAAATTACATTTTTGGGCATGTATTCTGTAACGAAATAGAACACTGCCTACAGCTGAGGAAAATGAGCGGTTAACAGGTGTGTTTCTGTCTTACTTTATCTAATTAACGTTATTGAGGTTTTCTTTTGCAAAATGTTTATTACATCTAAATCCATTACCGCTAGTAGCACTTCACTCTCTCTAGGGGAATCTAAGCTGAAAGCTCGATCATATGTTGCTTTAAAAAAAAAAATCCACATAAGACGCGTGTGAAATTACTAAATTAGTGATTATGTACACTGAACGAATCTATTTCTTTCGTTCTCCATAAATTAATGAGAACATTTAATTTAATTGAAAGGAGGGTTTCATTTGTCTGTCCAAAATAATAATTTGAGCAATACGTCACAGGGAAGTTAAGAAACAATTGTATATTGTTTGTTTTGTTCATTCATTATTTTATTACATTAACAGTTACGCTGACTGAATTCCAACTAAATTAATGAATAAGTGGGACCCTTTCAATTAAATTAAATGTTCTCATTAATTTATGGAGAACGAAAGAAATAGACTCATTCAGTAAATGAAACGTTTTTTACAAAAATGTAAAAAGCAACATGATGGCAGAGCTTTCAGTTTATAGATTCCCTTATCCTAGAGTGGAGTGCTACTAAGTGATGTGGATTTCTGTCTATATAATAAACATTTACCAAAACCTCAATAAGGTAAATTATAGATAAAGTAAGACAGAAACACCCCTGTTCACCGCTCATTTTCCCATGGGCAAAGGCAAGCACGCGTTTCACATCAGTGTTTCTCCCCAGAGACTAGCGCGAAATTGATCCCCTATCTTAGCGCCATCTACTGTTCTAGAAGAGGAAGTTGCTCAACTGCATTTGTGAGAAAATCTGCCTGGACACGGAAAAATAGTGTCAAAAATCACGTGACAGTTTTTCGTACTTGTAGAATTTTGTTTTGTACTTGTAGAATTTTGTTTTGTACTTGTAGAATTTTGTTTTGTACTTGTAGAATTTTGCTTTGTACTTGTAGAATTTTGTTTTGTACTTGTAGAATTTTGCCTTGTACTTGAAGATTTTTGTTTCGTACTTGTAGAATTTTGTTTTGTACTTGAAAGATTTTAGTTTGTACTTGGATGATATTTTTGTCATTGAAGAAATACGTTTCTATGTATATGTAAAACATACTGTATTTGTTTGATAGGTACGTTTTTTATTTGCAGAACAATATGCATTAGTTTGTGAGTGATGTTTCGTATTTACAAACCACATTGAGTTTGTTTGTGAATCATTGGGTGTGAGTAAAACACGTTTTGTGTGTGTGTGAGGTTTTGGCACATAATTCGCTCCATACCAATAAGAGTAATACAACCCACTCTCAATATGTTGTTCAGTGTTCAAAAACAATACTTAAAATATATGCGTGATTAATTAGCACATCAAAAAAAATTCAAAGTAACACATACTAGGAAGTAGCATTTGCTGGAGCGAATTCCGACAAAACACAAAATGTCTTTTTCTCCCCCTACAGGCTGCTTCGAGTGTTGCATCAAGTGTCTTGGCGGTGTCCCCTATGCCTCTTTGGTGGCCACCATCTTGTGCTTTTCAGGTGTGGCTCTGTTCTGCGGCTGTGGGCATGTGGCACTTACGGGCACTGTGACCATGGTGGAAAACCACTTTTCTCGCATCACCTCCGACCATGCTACCCTTATTGATGTGTAAGTGTGCTCGTATAAATGGCCATGATAATTCAAATACCACAGATACAGTAACTCCCCAATGATAGCTGTGTCCATATATTTAGATTGATACTGTGCGGTGCTTGAGGTGTTATTATTGTTACATTAAGGTATAAAGAGATGAAAGAAAGCAAATCTTGATCTTGTTTATCTGGTAACACTTTACAATAAGGTTCCATTTGTTAATATTAGTTAACATAAACTAACAATTAAAAATACTTCTAAGGCATTTATTAATCGTAGTTAATGTTCATTTCAACATTTACTTATACATTATTAGAATCGAAAGTTGAATCTGTTAATATTATTTAATGGACCTGCTACCATGATCTTTCAATGAACAATTGTTTTTCTAAACTTTTACTTGAACAAAGATTAAAAAATACCGTCAAAAATGTATTACTCGTTGTTAGTTTATGTTAGATAGCCTGTCAATTGTCATTGTTCCGGTAGCGGGACACTTTGTGTGCTTTTTATTGATTTTTTCCCCATGTCATGTATTTTAGTAATCATCAAGAATTAGATATCATTTGAAAGCTTAAATACTTTCATCCTTTAAAAAACGCTTTGAAATTGGACATCGCTTTACCTTGGAAATGGTATTCTAAATCCTTTTAGCGGACAACATTTTTCAACTTCAAATTTGGAATACAACTTTGGTTATTGTACATGTTCCTGTATGCCTTTGATTTTCTAGAAAAAGAGTCCAAATTATTTTGTAAAATATATTTTGTATAAAATTAAAACTGTTTAGTTCAGTACATTTGCTTTAAAGTATATTTTTTTATAGCTTTTTTACACTTGAACTTTTGAATTTTTGCTTTAACTTCTACAAGCATCTGCTGGGTGTCTTATTTAAAAAGAGACCAACCTTAAGTCTGTGCGTTAACTAGCACAACCTTATTGTAAAGTGTTATAGTTTATCATTTTCTACCTGTTTGAATTCATGTCCATATGTAAGAACACAGTGTTATGCTCAAGAGTGAGTATGTGGTGAGAAATGACCTCTAGAGTCCTAGCAAATAACTGGCTGTACTTTCTGTACCATCATGTCATCTTGAGCTTTACTGGGAGTAAATGGCCTTTGATTTCCTGTGTACATACACAGTGTCAGTGTGCAGTATACACAGTACCTAAAATCTGCCAAGAGTTCATGTGGAGCCCCCACACCAAAATACAAGTAACCATAGCCACAATTGTTTACAGAGCAGGAACTCTGGCAAATGTGATCTTAAATAAACCATGTCTTTATGTTTTGGTATCATTCAATCTAAACTGATCTGTTTTTATGTATGCGAGTTAGAACTAAGGAGTTGAAATTGAATAATCTCGGTTTCTCCATATAAATATTTGACAATTTTGAGGGATTGTTGCCCACCTCTCACATTAACACATTCAATATAGAGAAATGTTTCCTTTGTTATGAAGGGTTCAGATTTTGCAGTACATCATCTATGGAATCGCCTGCTTCTTCTTCCTGTATGGCATCATCCTGTTGGCCGAGGGCTTCTACACCACCAGTGCTGTCAAAGAGATGCACAGCGAGTTCAAGACGACTGTGTGTGGACGCTGCATCAGTGCCATGGTAATGCCAGCACGCACATACAAGCATGGACATACAAAACAAGGCACAGCAGAAAAACATGCCTCTACCTACATTTCTGCAAAACTCCAAAGACGTACCCATACATACAATTGAGTTTCAGTTTCCAGCGTTCCTTGGATAATACTATGTTTTGACCTCCAAACACTTTTGCCATAGTGCATGGTTGTAAACTAATACATTTTGATGTTTGCATAACATAACCAGCCCCACTTGATAGAGCATTAACCTTTTAGTTCACCAGACAATTAATTTCCGAACTGCTGTGATATAGACCCAACCAATGAAATACAATACTGCCAGATTCAGATTCAATACAAGGCTGCCACATCATCAGTTTCAGATAAAACTGAATGCACTTTTAGCGGCACTCATTAGACATTTCACTTTGTGAAATGTGTCATGAAACATGCAAGAAGCAACGTAATAACATTTTGCGGAAATGTCGCCACAGGCAAGGTTTCCCAATGAGCGTGGGTTGGCAAATACGCTTTCCATAAACATATACGAGCTCATTCAAATACATTTACCCCCCTCCATAAACATTAAACTCTTGAGGACAGATCTGGCGCGAGCAGTGCAGTGTACCCTAATTCCTATAATTGCTGCAGATGTCCAGTAGGATTCATCTTTAAAGCCTTCAGGCCATGTATGGATGTGTCTTTGTATGTATGTGTACTCTTGTGATGTTTTTTAAGCTGGGAATCATGTGTGTATGTTCACATGAGTGATTGTGATAATCTAGTTGCGACAGATACAAGGTGATTCAGCGGTAAATAGGTCATCATTCTGGGTCACATTCATGCTTTATACACTGCAGGATTTAAACAGGATTAAAACTATGAGATTATTCTAGTCATTATGATATTAGATATATGGATATTGAGTGGATATTTAGCATGCGAGTCTAACTGCAACAACCTAAACAAGACTTCTCTTTTTTCTTTTTTCTTTTTTGAAGTTTGTGTTCCTCACCTACATTCTGGGATTGGGATGGCTAGGCATCTTTGGCTTCTCTGCGGTGCCTGTTTTCCTCTTTTATAACATGTGGACCACGTGTGGTGCCATGAAGTCCCCTATTGCCAATCTCACCTCTGTGGACAACATCTGTGTCGATGTGCGGCAGTATGGTAAAAAAAAAGATTGAGATTGAATCATTAGATAATACTTGGTTATATTGATTTGCAAAATCAACATCAATTTACAATGTAAGATTTGATTTTAATAGAATGTTAACTACACTGTAAAAAAACTTAACTCATTATTTTGTGTTATCTTTTTGCATGGTTTTTTTTTTATTTCGATAAGTTGAGGACAAGAAAACTTAAAATTTCTTGTTGTCTGGACAATCTAGTTATCTCTACACAAAAAAAATAAGTTGAAATAACTAAATTGCTAAAATATTTTTTACAGTGTAGTGTATACTTCCTTTTACAAATACAATCAGCCATTTCCTTACCTGGCATTTACTGAAAGCCCTACCAGTGGCAAACTATGTAACCATTCGTTCCATTTAATAATATGTAATTATTCAAGTGTATTGCTTTGGTATTCTTTATAACTTTTAGATGAATGTATCTAATACATGTAATCATTTTCAGGAATCATTCCATGGAACGCGAGCCCTGGTAAAGCCTGTGGGTCCACACTAAGCGACATCTGCAATACTAGTGAGGTAAAGATTTACCTCATTTGTCCCTGAAGATCATCACATACAGTATGTACTGGAAGGACGTTATTTACCCTGTGAAGCCTGACATGAAATAATAGTCAGAAAACTGTTTACTGAACAAAAAAACAAACAAAAAAATGCAGTTGATGTTATTTATAGGCTATGGCCAAAAAATAAGATGAAATTCTGATTGATTGTAATGTAAATTAATAACAGTACATTTTTATAACAGTATAGCAGACTATTGACATAAAATGCATGTAAATATCAGTTGTCACTACTGTTTATCTCCTAGAGCTGCACGATTCATCGTTAAAAAAAATCATGATCTCATTCCTAAATGACAACGATTAGCCTGTCTCTATTAAAGGATTAGTGAAAATGTCCTGATAATTTATTCACCCCCACGTCATCCAAGATATTCATGTCTTTCTTTCTTCAGTCGAAAATAAATTAAGGTTTTTGAGGAAAACACTCCAGGATGTTTCTCCATTTTTCTTTTCAACAACACAGTATTATTTCTGTGTTATAAATATTTTTATTATCACAAAAGTACTAGGATAAAAGATACAAGATTATAGTTCGGATATAAACACTGATATCTACGGAAGCGATAAAAATACAGCAAATCACCTTTTGAAAGTAACTTGACGCTTCAGCAGTTGTATAGATTACATTGTTACAGGACTTCTAAACAAATGTATTTGTCATTGAATCATTCATTCAAGAGATTTGTTCAAAAACTCTGAAAACTAAGTATTTATGAGTGAGTCATTGAATCATTCATTCAAACGTATTTAAAAAAATTCATTCAGATTAAACATTCTAAATAGACTGCAGCAATTAACATTTTGTCAGAACCTCTAGTAAATTACATGTTATTTTGTTTAATTGTCTGTTCAGAAGAATCGTGATCTCTGTTTGAAACAAAAAAAATTGTGATTCTCAATTTATCCAGAATTGTGCAGCTCTAATATCTCCCAATAATACATCTTAGTAAGATGATATTGAAATGCTTAGTTTTAAGATCAAAGCTCTGTCATTTTTATTGTGGGGCCAAAACATATAATACAATACAATACAACAATGTTTAAGAGATGTAAAAATGATATATGTACAGGAGGAATGTACATTCCTTAGAAGCCTGTTGAATCATTTGATACAGTATACATTTGTAACATGAAGTTGTTTATTATCACATTTTTCACAGCAAAAAGAGACTATAAAGTAGGATTCATAGTAAAGTGTAAAAGCCTGACATTTGTGTGCTGCCTTAAGGAATATGTTTCAAATTTCTCCGGCAATGTCGTTTTATTTTAAATGAGTAATATCACATTTTGTGTGGCTATAGGTCTGTAGTCTTGTGTTAGTTATGTTTTTTCATAGTAATGCTAGTAATGGATTTCATAACATTTCATTGCAGTTCTATCTGTCCTACCATCTTTATATTGTTGCCTGTGCTGGAGCTGGTGCCACTGTGATCGCACTGGTAAGATTTCATGTTAAATGTTCTTCTAATTGTTTTCTTAAGTAACTTGTTTATATCAAGAATAATAGTTGAAAATAGTCTAAAATTGCTTAGTAAAGAATTGCGTTTATGTGTAGAGAAAATGGTACAATATAGTGCTATGGTGCTATTTTGCAATATTCTGTCATCAGTTCAGGATCTTTAGGCACAGATTGACCTAGCCGTACATGCTTTTATGGGGAAGTGGTGCAACTTCTGTTGTAAAGTTGCTACTGTACATATAAAACAATGTTTGGTCTCACCCACTGGTTTGTCTCTCTTCCATTCAGCTCATCTATGTGATGGCCACAACGTATAACTTTGCTGTGTTGAAGTTTAAGAGCTACGACCACAGTCACACCACTAAATTTTGAGCTTTTTGTACGAGGGCAACTGCAAAGTCTGTGAAAGTTGTTCTCAAAGATAGAGAGAAAAAGAGATAGAGTGTAAAAGAGGTCAGGAAAAAGGTAAGGTAGAGAATAAATAGAGAATTGTTAATTCTAATAGCATTGGACTTATTGTATAGACAATGTAGTGCATAATGTTATGGTCTAATGTTTCTGTACTAGTTTGACAAAGTGTGATCTTTTGACAAAACAAGTACAATATTTCACTCACTTAATGTTTTCCATACATTTTTACCTGTGTTACTAGGACCAAATTCATCAAGTACAATAATGGATTTTATTTACAGTTAATGAGAAAATTACATTTAAGTAGGCTTAGTGAGAATGTAACTCTTCTCTCAGTCCAACAACACCTAATGGACAGGATTAAAACTAGAAAAAACATAGTATTTGATAATTATGTCTCCATTGGATTATATTCGCTCTGAGGCACCAATAGTCCATAATTCAGTCAGATAGAAAAGACAAGGCAAGTACAGTAGATGAGAAGAGCATAGTTATTGCTGCTATGAAAGCTAATATGAATGTTGTGTTAATGCTCAAAAATGAAACATTTACTTATGCTTCATGTACCTGTGAAGGGTGTGACTGTACTTTTTAACTCCTCGTGTGATGTTTTGCATTCATGGAAATGACAAAAAAATTACAATATCTTTCAGAGCCTTTATTGTTAGATTCATCCAACTACTACTTACTTTAGTATTCTGTTTATTATAGAATTAAAACAGTATATAGATTCTGTGCCTTTTGTATCATTCTCAAACCAGGATAGTTCCTGTTTTCTGAAAGAAGAAATAAACAAGAATTGTTGAGAAGTTCATTTCTTTTTATTTGATAGATCAGCTCATCTTTTTTTTACCTTTCTTTGGATACCACCAGTAGTTTTTACATCATCTTTTATTTGCTAAATGCTAACACCTGAAATAATAATAATTCATGTGATGCTGGATACACTGAAAAAAGTTAAATGACTGTCATTTATTTAAAGTGCATTTCAATATTGGTCTAATCGAAAATCATGGTTTCTGGGTTTAAACCTGTTTCGTTCAGTTTGTCTAAAAGCAAATAACACTACCCATAAAACAATTAAAAGACACAATTTTGTTTAAATAGTATTTTCGTGTATTGATGTGCAGAAAACATATTGGCTAGCTTTACTGACTGCTGAAATTATTGTGGGTTTTATTCATTTTTGCAGGTGCATAACAGAAAATATGATGCATATTTTAAAAAGACATAATAGTAAACTAAATTAAACATGAACTAACAAAATGTTTTTAGTTTCATCTCAAGTGAAAATTTTACTTTCATATTATAATAATAATAAATAGAGCTGCACGTTTTATCGTTAAAAGATCGTAATCTCGATTTAAACTCCCAGGCTATTAAACCTTTGACAAGTATGATCACAGCGAAACATTTAAATCTGCGTTGACGCTGTTGCTGACCCAGAGAGAACAGTTGTCTGTCATGTATAGGTATGAAACAGCTTCATTCTTTTCAAATGCACAATATCATTATTTGTTACAATAATGCACAATTACATCATTACATCAGTAAGTGGCAACAAGTGACTTTGTCATTGAATCAGTCATTCAAGAGATTTGTTCAAAAACGCTGATTCATCCAGCAATAAAACAAGTCAAGTCTTTTAGAGTTAGTCATTGAATCATTCATTTTTTAAACAGATTACATTTTTTTTATTAATAATAATTAAATATTTTTATGCTGCAATTAACATTTTGTCAGAACCTCTAGTACATAACATGTTATTTTGTTTAGTTGCCTATTCAGAATTCTGGGAGAATCATGATCTCTCTTTAAAAAAAAATTTAAAAAAAGATTTTCAGTTTATCCAGAATCATGCAGCTCTAATATTACATAAAAAATATATATAAATATAATTTGAGGAAAAAAATACAAATTTGGATGTAACTTCAATGGGTGAAGTGGCTGCAATAAAGCGCACGACAGAGCAAACAACAAAAACAGTATTTAATAATAATCCAACAAGAGATTTCAGGAGTATAGTATAACAACCACACAAAGACGTAAACGAGACCGAACAAAGAACTTGAATGACCTGAAGGCTTAAATAGACTGAGTAATGAAGGAAAATAAGGAAATATGAAAACTAATAACCACAGGGAACTCAGGCAAACCAGAACAGGGAAAACAGAAACAAAACACAATGAAACAAAACAGACACAGAACTACACGTTACAGTGACACAATAAAAAGATATTTTTTCAGTGTATTCTGATCAACTAATATTGATTTCTGTGTGGTGCAGCTATAATAATTCACTGAGATTAAGTTAATAGGTTCTTAGAGCAACCAATTAATACTGTCTTTACTCTTATAGCTGGCTTTGGCTAACTAACCCACTATGACTAATCCTTCCCTCCACCTGTTTCTTCCTCTGTCTTTCTACCTCTCCATCTCTCTGTCTATTTTGTTTGTCTTCTTTCCCATCTCTACTGTTCACAGATCCACTACCTGATGATCCTGGCAGCGAACTGGGCCTACCTAAAGGGAGCATGTCAGCAGACTCATGACTACCAGGACATCAAGACCAGGGATGATCAAGAATTGCAGGATGTGCAGTCACGCTCCAAGGAGGGTCTAAACTCGTACTCATAAACAGTTCTCTCTGCTCTACTCTGTTCTACCCCACCTCTACCTAACCTGCTCTCTAGACCACACCAAAAACACCCATACACAAACACACAGCCGCTGCAATGACCTGCCACTTTCAGATGGAACATTGCACAAACTAACACTGCTAAGCGGTGCGCTATCCTGACTATACATCATAACAGTGGTATAAGTTGGCTATAATCATGATGAAACACGTTCAGGCAAGTTGTTTAACATCTGTAACAAATGATAAGTGGAATCATCCATGATACAGTTAATAGTGATATGATGTGTTTTGCTCATCCACTTCATGGTATAAAAGACCACTGGTATAAAAGTGTATGTATACTAGTATTGTACTGTCATTTTGCATTGACAATTTTTCGAATTGGTAGAAACTGTATGTTCAAGTGTAGTCATGGTTACAACTGGGTTATATTTGGAATTATGATGCATTGTCTTGGTGAAGCGCTGCTTACATGATAGATTGTCTGCACTAACTCCTCACAAACATTTTGCAGGAACTTCCTTTTTGGTGTTTTATACATATATAAATATATATAAATGTGTGAAAGTGAATGAATGTTGTTGTTTTTTTTAATTATTATTATGGGTGCCAGGTTGTGTATTGAAAATGTCTGTTTATTTAGAATCTTTCTCTGGGCTCTCTCTATCTTAGATATCTGAATTCACCTCTTTTTCCAACTCTCTTATTTTTTTTATTTTTTTTTTTGAGGGTTGGGGGAATAATGCCGGTACTTGACAAATTACACTAATCTTGTAATAGAAAGCAGATATATTAACACACACACACACACACACACACCCGTCAAAATATTTCTCTTTACAGGACATTTTCTCAAACCTGTCAGTCTTGGGTATTATCTAGTACTCAACCCTCAAAATTATATCCAGAAAACAGCATTTGACTGATATATATCTGTGAGGCAGAACAATTTATATGTATTTGTTTTATGAAAGAAAAAAAAAAGAAAAAATGATTTCCTATTAATGTATAACAGAAACTGCCATCGTCAGCCATACAGGTTTAATACTTTCCTTCAGTTTCGTTGCTAAATCTAGGTATTTTTCAGTCTTCTAGAATTTGATAATATGGCAAGATCAATGTTTACCATGAGATTTATGAAATGGTAGTGACTCCTCTGTGTGAGTTATTGCTATGTGGATGTGGAACTCTGAAAATAGTTTGAATTTACAGTCAAATAACGCCGCCTTGTTTTTGCAGTGTATCTTTTCCTAACTGGTTTCTCTCTCTTTCTATTACTACTTTTACAATATGACTCTCTTTTTATTGATCTCTCTTTTAACTGAAATAATTACTCTCTGTAATGTAAATATAAGCATGTTAGTATTGTCCACATATACAATTGTTTTACTACCAATTATATGCCATTTCTTGCTGTATGTTAAATTCTGTTAAAGTGAGCTTTCAGGAATTAATCTATTAATGTCCATTATTTATTAATAGATCCATTAATGTCCATTAATCTATTTACCCTGGTTTTGAAAAAGAAAAGGTGTGCCTGGATGTTCTATTGTTCCCTCATTATTGCATGAAGGAAAGATATTTTGTTTTGTTTTGCAGTACTTTAAGTGATGTGTAGTCCATTGTTCTAATGAACTACAATTCACAGTGTCCTCCCCCCAAAACAATTCACTGTATCTTGATGGAAATTGTAGTCTTAGATGTTTCATAGTCGATTTTATTTGAAGTCAGATGTTTTATGAATCCTGTATAGTGATTTTTGTAACCTTCTCTAGTAAAAAAATTTCTATGATCTATATGAACTGTTTTGTGTTATTAAAAAAAAAACCTGTGCAAAAGATAGAGGAGCACCTTATTTGCCATACTGTCTTATAACTTCACTGCATTGCAAGGTAACTATCATCATTTCTATTTAGTCCTCCTGCAGTTTGTGCATATAAAATGTGTATTTTGCGCCACCTGGTGTAGAAATGAGAACATTGTGCCCTTATTTTTATTATTAAAAACATCTCAACTTTACCCTGAACTTTTGATTGAAAAAAAAAAAAAAAACATGGTAAAAGACAATAAAAACCTATAATCTATAATCAAATACTTTTAATTCAGTAATAGTTCAGTGAAATATTATTTGCAAACTCGGATGAGCATGCAGGATCATTATGAGAATCATTTTGTGACAGAAATTATGCACAGATGTCTATGTAAAAGGAAATTCACAACTAAATGTCTTGGAATGGTATAAGTTTTCACATTCAGGCATATTCAAAAAATAAATTGTTAGCCCATTCAAACTAAAGTGATAATTAATTAGGGCCCGATCACCGATGGTGTGAGGACCCTATTGGAATTGCTCCGTTTATTATACAAAATACATTTACAAAAATCACACTTCATGACTCTTAAAACATTCTAAAACGTCTTATGATGAACGATTGTTAAAATAAGACAAACAAACAAACAAACCTGTGCTAAAGGCACTTAAAGTAACACAGCTTGTACATTACATAGTGCACAAGGAAAATGAGATAAAAACACATTCTAGTGTTCATAAATGTAATAGCTGATGTTTATTTCTCAACTGTAAACTGCATTAGAATTTGTTGCCTGGAGGATCTCACTGATCCCGGTTTGGTTTACCAACATTGATAATTTAGACCACCTAAATCACACAGGAAGGTAATCCAGTGCTTTGAAGGGATGACAAATGAATGTGAATCAAAGAGATTATTTTAAACTAAACAAGACATGTAATTCTAAAAGTCTCTTCATTCATGTTAATTATTCAGAGCTGGACAAGTGTTTGAGATTATATAGCTCTGCTGTATCAAAGTAAGCATATTGCACAGCACACAAGAAGTTATTTCTGGCATCTGCTGTTTTGAGTTGAAGAGTATACATTTATTTGCTAGCACATAACAAGGAGTACTTCAGTTGTGTCCATTTCATTAAAAAGCATCAACAGCACAAGCCGTTAGAACGCGGCTTTCTGCGTATGTCAACGGTGTCTGTGGGCAGCAGATGTTCTGCGCGATCTTCAGATGCGAGCACATGCCTAACTGCTTCCTCAAAAGCAGCTGAGACATTAGTGGCATCTTTTGCGCTTGTTTCAAAGTATGGATATCCACCATTCTCTTGACACCACTTTTGAGCTTCTTCCATTGACACCTGACGCTCCGTCACATCTACTTTATTTCCTAGAACAACAAAAGGAAATTTCTCTGGGTTCCTGACATCTGCATAAAATGCAAACTCTTTCGTCCAGTTGTTGAGGTTCAGGAAACTTTGATTATCGTCCACGCTAAATGTAAGCAGACAGCAGTCAGAGCCACGGTAAAAGGGCGTTCGGAGACTTCGGAACCTCTCCTGGCCTGCTGTGTCCCAGATCTGTAGGGTAACCATGTGACCATCCACCTCCAGCTCTTTGTTAAGAAACTCCACACCGATTGTGTGGAATAGGTGTGAATCAAACTTGTTAGAGACATAGCGGTTCATGAGGGATGACTTTCCTACGCCACCATCCCCCAGCAGAATCACCTTCAGCAAAGATGATTTGGTGGTCATTATCAAGAACTTTCATAGGTTACCTCACCTACAGACCTAAAATGAAAATCAGAATTAGCAAGTTTAAAAAATAAAAAAAAGCACAACTTCTCACTTTCAATATGTAACATATTGAAGTTGACAGTCTGAATAGATCAGTTTTTGTTAAAGGTGGTAGTAGGCCAATAAAAAGCCAGTATAAGGGTCATTCCTGGTATGCGGTGACATTTCGGCTTCATAAGTGTTGAAAAAAAGAAGAACATGATTTTCATGTTTTTAGCATTCTACCAAAATAGTGACATGTTTAACTAGAAGGAATACATATTGGTCAAGCTCAGGGACTCTATAATAATAATTATGGGTAGTTTGTTCAGACACTGTCCATGAAAATATTCCACCCTGTTAGGGACATATACATAGTTATCACAACATGTTAATAATGTAAATGTTAAACAATAATGAGCTTTTCTTGGATAGTATATGTCCCTTATGCCATCTTAGATTTTCCTTTTCTTCTTGAAACAAGCAAAACAATTTTTGATGAATAGAATATGTTTCACATTCCACCCTGTTAGGTTTATAGACCTAACAGGGTGGAATCTAACAGGGTGGACAATTTTGAGCTAAATTAGCCATAGCTCTTTGAGTGATCAACATTTAGCTAGCTAACCTTCTACAGATAAATATAACTTTTATAACTATGTCAGATTTGTTTTTACATTTTTTTGATAGGACAAACATTCTCCATAACATAGCCTAACAGGGTGGAACTTTAAGGGTGGGACAAGCAGGATAACATTTCAAAAACTAAAAAAAAAAGTTAGGCGTGAGAGTTGAAGCTTACTTCAGTTTGTACAGTTGAATTCCAGCAGGTAAAAGAAATTAAGTCACTTCTTGAAAATGGTCTCAATGAAATTGCAGTCGGATTTGGAAGGCAAAAAAGTACATACTAACAGGGTGGAAGACTACTTCAGGGACGCAGTAATTGAAGAAAATTTTAAGAAAAAGACCTATATTTTCACATGGTTTATATGTATGACTAGAGGCAATTTAGCCTAGTCTATAACATAATAAAAAAATATTTTGAGGGTTTTTGTCATTTCATAGTTTATATTTCTTGCAGAAGTTGATTACTGTGCACTGAGGACATGATATAATTGAATGCATACATCAATTAAAATTGTGTAAAATACAAAATAGTATTTTTAATGTCTATTATCTCTGTTTAAATGGTAAAGAATACTTAAATCTACAATTTAAGCCATTTACTATAAATATGCGACTCATTTTAGAGAAAATATGAGTAAATAAATCATTGGGACAGGAAAAGTCACCGCATACCAGGAATGACCCATAAATAGATATACTGATATAATAGATATTTTTTTGTGAGAGGTGAGGTATAGTTCTGCCTCAGTTTCAGAGCAGACTTCTGGCTCAAATAGAAATACATTTGAAAGCCAGTGTGACTTAAAATCAGCACAGCTCGAGTCATAAATAATGGTATCTTTAATTTGAAGTTCTGATGAACCCCTTAGCCCAAGACATTGTTCGTCAAAAAATAGAGTTCGTAGGCTACTAGTCTTAACTGTCCTGTGACAGGAGTGCATTCATCTGAGCCCCGGAAGCGCCGATCATGTGAGACAGATCTTCACGGATCGTCCTGTCCTCATAACTTAGCCTAGTGCTATATGAAAAATAAATAGAAGAAAACTAAAATCTAACTCATAGGCTAATGCAAGGTTACATATAACCGTATACTTTTGATAACAGATCACATGAGTCTGAAAACGAACAAGTCTGAACATTTTGAAGAATTGTAGCAAATAAATATTTACAGTGTAAAGCTAAACGAAAGGCAAGCCTGGGCTATTCGTGACGTGTTTTCATAGCAATCATTTAAAAACCCCGACAGCGCTGCTCATGCATTTACAACAGAAAACCTCTTAGAATACGACGTAGGTTCTAGAAGTCAAGCCCATTTTTACTCGATATCGAAGTTAATCAATGGCAAACTGAAGGACTGTTACAAGCGACTGTTTTATCGTAATAAAGCAAATGATCAAAGGAAACGTAATATTGTGGCAAGACGTCGCTTTAGTGTAAGATAAATTTAAGTGGTGGCATTCCATTCAATCGCATGATCAAACCGGCAGATTGGGACGCTCTACGCCACCATTGCTTTAAAGGTCCTGTCAAATTATACACTTGGCATTTCGTACATTTAAAACATGTGTTGCGCGAGGAACAGACAGTTAGGATACATACCGTTGAGAATTCAGCAATGAGTGAAGTGCTGTGTTAGCAGCGCCATTCCTTAAAGTAGAAGCAGCATCCTCCACTGTATGGAGCGTCTCAAGACATGGCGCCCCTAGGCTGGCCAAACAAGCTGCTGAAGCTCATATGACCGAGTGCTCATTTATAAGACATTTAAGTTAACATGAAATCAATTAATAAAACAACACGGAAATGAATTGAATTGGTTTCATAACTGAGGCCAGCCTGACACAGTAAACATCCTTCTGTGTAAAATATTCTCTTTGAAGTGCCTTATTCCTCTAATATTTGGTTGGCATAGGACATTAATTATTAACTGTCTTTGATTGACGACAGCATTATCAGCGAGTCACTAACCAAATACTATCCCTGCTAGTTCTACAGCACACATGATCTGATGTCACTTGATCACAAACACAAACGCACAGCAATATTAAATCAACATATGTCAGATTACATCATCAAGCTTGGAGCTTTTTGATCTCGTTAGAACTTATGCAAGAGTAGGCCTACATAACGTAATCTTAAAGATTACAATCAATGTTTGCCACATCATGGAATGTTGCGATGAACAGCTTTACACATAGGCTACCTTGATAACAGTTTACCCTAAGTTAAATGTCTAACTTGTTTGAATCACAAAACCAAATAGAAAGTTTAAGATGAGGTTAAATTTGTAATTAGCTCTTAAAACATAATCAAGAGTCAATTCCTGTTGATAAATAGCTGTAAAAAAGAAAGAAAAGAAAAAAAGGGCTAACAACATAATATACAGGCTAAAAAATATAATTTCCATGTGAATCTTTCCACATTCAAGACCTGTCTATTTAATTAAATGTGCACATTAAACCAGAAAACAACACATAGATTAACAATGTTTTTAAGTGAGACATCTGACTGCTTTTTTCTTCTTCTTTTTTTGACTGAAACATTCAGCCTTTAGCCTTTGGACCCTATCTTGGGCAGATTAACAGGTCACATGCTCTCTGCATGCGGCACACTTTCTGTCACATGTTTGCTGAGCTTAGACACAAGAACACATTTAGAATACTGCATTCATTGTGCTTCTCCTTTTTTTGGCGATCTGTTTCAGATGCATTAATTTAGTTTAAAACTGTGGTCAAAGTCATTAGAGAAGCAAAGACCAAACTCCTGACCTCTGAAATAGATGATTGAGGGGGAAAACAGGCTTACTTTTCCTAACAAAACATCATAAATATTACTTTAGAATATATATTTATTTTACCTGCATAAACCTTCACTTTCAGATAAAAAACATACATTATTTCATGCAATGGTTCATCAACAGGTGTGCATACGTATAAGAGGCTGAATATATTTTACAAAAGGGTCATTCTGTGTCAAATTATCCAAATTTCAGAAACTTACCCAGCTCAAATTTTAGATTTCGCTAACATTTGAAGATTTAGACCCAAATTGCAGGGTTGTAAAAATGACTTTAAAAAGATGCATCATTATTTTATTTTTCACACAAAGATTAGTAGGTTTATAAGTAAAATCTGTTGACTTTAGCAATCTTTGTTGCATTATATGCCAACAGATACAGTTAAAAAAATTAGAAAAAGCACTTCTTGTGTTTTTTTGCCTAAAGTTTGCATGCCTGTAACTCAAATATCTCTTAATAATAGTTTGTTAAAAAGTTTTTTAACAAACTTTTCTTTTGGTATCCATATTTTCAAGGCCTATGGTTCAATTCCAGAGATATTGGGATCTCAATATGGCTCTAATTGTAAACTGGACAATTGCTGAAGAACAAATAATGTTGAAAATGTATCTGGTTTTTCTATCAAAACAATTGTAAATAACATATCTGTTGTTTTTCCAAAGTTTGTGTGCCTGTAACTCAAAAGGTATCAAAGATATCTTAATATGATTTTAGATTCTGGTTATTAACAAACATTTATTTTGAAATCTTAAATTTCAAGGCCCTGTTATGGTTCAATTCCATTGATATGGAGATCTCAATGCGGGTCCATTTTAAAATTGTTGAATTTTACCTTTATTCAATGGACGAAAACCAAATGTGAGTCACTTGAATACGGAGCCCCCCTAGTCCCACTTTGTCAAAAAAATTTATTATAACTATCTTGTGGCCTCAAGATAAGTAACTCGTGGCCTCAAGAGAGTAACTCGTGGCCTCAAGATACTATCTCGTGGCCTCAAGATAGTAACTCGTGGCCTCAAGATAGTATCTCGTGGCCTCAAGATAGTAACTCGTGGCCTCAAGATACTATCTCGTGGCCTCAAGATAGTATCTCGTGACCTCAAGATACTATGTCGTGGCCTCAAGATAGTAACTCGTGGCCTCAAGATACTATCTCGTGGCCTCAAGATAGTATCTCGTGACCTCAAGAGAGTAACTCGTGGCCTCAAGATACTATCTTGTGGCCTCAAGATAGTATCTCGTGGCCTCAAGATACTATCTCGTGGCCTCAAGATAGTATCTCGTGGCCTCAAGATAGTAACTCGTGGCCTCAAGATAATATGTCGTGGCCTCAAGATAGTATCTCGTGGCCTCAAGATACTATCTTGTGGCCTCAAGATAGAGATACTATACTACTCGTGGCCTCAAGATACTATCTCGTGGCCTCAAGATAGTATCTCGTGGCCTCAAGATAATAACTCGTGGCCTCAAGATAGTATCTCGTGGCCTCAAGATAATAACTCGTGGCCTCAAGATAGTAACTCGTGGCCTCAAGATACTATCTTGTGGCCTCAAGATAGAGATACTATACTACTCGTGGCCTCAAGATACTATCTCGTGGCCTCAAGATAGAGATACTATCTTGAGGCCACGAGTTACTATCTTGAGGCCACGAGATAGTATCTTGAGGCCACGAGATAGTATCTTGAGGCCACGAGTTACTTATCTTGAGGCCACGAGTTACTTATCTTGAGGCCACGAGATAGTTATAATACATTTTTTTGACAAAGTGGGACTAGGGGGGCTCCGTAGTTTCAGGAATAGGCCTATTTGAAAGAAGGGATTTTGTTCATTTTAATAGCTTTTGAAGCTGCCAAGAGTTCCAATACGTAGTGTCGTAACTACATGTTACCGCATTGACATCCCAATTTCTCTGTGACTGAACCATATAGGGCCATAAAAATTAAGATTCCACAAAAAAAGTTTCATATAGGAACAAGAATATGTTGGCATATGATGCAACAAAGATTGCTAAAGTCAACAGGATTTACTAACAGACCTACAAATCTCTCTGTGGAAAAATAAAATAATGATACTGTCATCTTTCTAAAGTAATTTTACACCCCTGTAATCTGGCTCCAAATATCAGGTGAACACCACCCCCCCCCCCCCCCCCCCCCCCCCCCCCCCCGCAAAACATCAGATTACTTAGTTAATATGCATCCATGACATTTATGTATTTCTTATAGCAGATTATTTATTTTTTTCAAAATCAACATTTTTTTTTAGCCGAGGACCTCTGGTTGAGCTGACACGGAATGACCCAAAAGTGTTTTTGAGAAAAAAGTAAATAAAGCCAGGGTCAAAATGGACATGCAATTACTTTGTTTTAATGGCTAATATTTCTTAACCTTTTCAAAAAATCTTTTCCAAATCAAAACGGACCAAATGCATTTCCGAACAAAATGCATTATGAGGATTCATTGCACCAAACTGAAAGCCACAAGCAAGTTAATCTGACTGAAAAATCTTTACTTGATTTAACTGTCCACTGAAAGCTCAAATAGTGCAGAACAATACTGCTATTCATCATTATTGCAGTTATCAATACATATACACTTGCTCAAAGGCAAACCCAGTTGCTGTGGTACCACTGCTCTCCACAATTAGCACAGGTCATAAAAGTCATTGAATCATTATCTGCACTGCCACTCCGTACCCACGAGGGCAAGAACAGCATCCCTCGTGAGATCTGTGTTACCCTGCAGTCCAAACTGCCACAGCGCCTGCAGCGAACTTTACTGGTGGGTGTCCCTTCCACCACCTCTGGTAACTGATGCTCACTGATGCCCAAAGTGGTGTAACCTTCCCTGAGCTGTCGAAGTTCTGCCCCTGCCATTTCCTCTGCAGACATCTGGGCAAATGCCTCTGGAGTCAGGTGTCCTGACATAAGACCTTGGCGTAGATGAGAGTTCTTTGGGTTCTTTAGGTTGGCCACCTTGCTCCTGATGCAGGACTTGTACTTAAGCTGGGTTCTTCCATAAAGAGCATGAACATGTGCTTCAATGTCTTGAGCAAGGGCTTTGTGTTTGTCCATATGATCTGAGTCTTTTTGCTGATTTGGGGTAAGAGCCTGGAGAATCAGCAAGATACATTTGCATCTCAATGCCGTGGACTCAGAGGAAGTGCTGGGCTGATTTGTGTTTTGAGGAACTGAGGTTCTAAAATCTTCCTCTCGGACAGATCTTTCTTCCTCATGTTGTAACTGAACATATTCTGCAGTGTCATTTGCTGGACAAGGCTTTTCTGAAGACAACTTATCTGAGCACACACTACTGTCTTCACATTTGTCTTGTTTTACATCCTTTGTTATGTCATGTTGCTCTGTGTTGCATGTACATGCTTGATTCTCATTCCCCCTTTCATTTAAGTGCTCAGATCCACTGGTAACAGAGGGAATTTCCAAACACTCCTCAACATTAGGCAGGTTATGTGTCTCTAGTTCCTTGTTCTCCTGTGGGTCTTTGTTATTATTTTTCAGCATAGGTGACAGCTTGTACAACTTCTTCCATTTTGAGAGCAAGCTCTTTGCTATTGTTTTAGCACTCACAGTTGGACAGAAATTAAGTAGCTTATAAAGAACCTTCACAATTTCTGTAGTCTGAATCTGCTCTAAAGTGACAGGAATGTTATTCAGATCTGTCAGTAATGATACAATATCTTCATAGCTGCCATCATTGTGCAACTTTTCTATTTGTATAGCATAATGAATTATCTCTTTAGTATTCATGGTCTCTTATATACTATTGAACTAACAAGTAGCCTAAGCAATGGAAATTACTTAAAACTAGTGCAAAAAAAAAAATGTTGGCTTCAACAGCATTTAGCCTACATGCACGCATTCGAAGAATAAACTGCTGCAAAATATGAATACAGTAATCAATTTCTAAATCGTAGACAAACGCAACGCATTCACCTTCAACCAAACAAGTATCTTCTTGGTAAAATATTCAGCAGTAAAAGCCTTTTAAAATGGAGAATTCGCACTCCTTCCGCCATGTCTGAAATAATCCAATAACATGATTGTACACATAGCAAAACCGTCCTAAAGAGGGCGTAATTGCTCAACTTTTTTCAATATAACATTTTGCCGTTTAAACTGCAGTCATGAAACACATTCAGTGGACACTTTCCCACAGTTATTAACGTCGTATTTAAAAAAAAACAAAAAACTTTTAAAGTATATTTTCATTTTTTAAACGTAGCTACATTTATAACACTATGTATTGTAGGCTACATTCGCATTCAATTACAAAGGTAGCTAATTAAAAAACTCAGTGCTGCCTGCAAGGGAGTTTCTAAAACAAAGCTGAGGGTTTTTGATGGATTTATATTTCTCTTTTCTCATTACCGCAATCTATTTGTTTGGTTTGCCCCCTCTTTTGGAAAATTCTGTAAATGCTGTTTTTATTTTTCTGCTATAGGAGCAAATGGTAACGTAAAAAATCATGTCTGCTGTAGACCTACCTCTCACGTACTGTAAAGTTAAAAGAAGATTACATTTAAAAACAAATATGCTTGGATTAGGCTATCTATGTTTCTGATAAATGACCTTTGTATATAGGAATAGATAACAAATCAATGAATGCAGATATTTCTCAGATGAAAGTCGGGCCTTTGATGCTGTTTGGACTGCAAGTTTATTCTCATTTCCGGGAGTTGCATAATGCCTGAATGACCTGAAAATGCACTATCCAAAATTAAACGGTTGTAAGTAATTCATGAATGCTTTGGACTACAAACCTGGTCTCTTTTCATAGAAGACACTCAGCAGATTATTGCTGAAGAAAAACAATATGAAAAATATAAAGGTGTAAAAAAGTTATAGAAGTTTATGTTTACTGTTAAGCAAATATCCTGTACTAAACATTTTATATTTTATACAAAACATTGCTATAAAATCAAAGACATATGTCTAACCAAGGTGTGCCCAAATCTGAAGTTGAAATCACAAAAATTAAAGCTCCTATGAGATTTTATTTAGGCGCCATACCAAAAATAGCCACCTAGTGTCATCTACATTCCATTGAATGTTTTTTTGATGTGTTCTCCTGTAACAAATTAATACATTTCTGTCACAACATCACTTCTATCACAAAACAGCTGTGTTAGCCCGCTAAATAGTTTTTTTTACAGTAGGCCTACACTTTCCATGGTAATGCAATTTCCATTTTCATAACGATTTTCACATGATTTATAGAGTGTTTAAGCTTTTGAATGATATCTAATTTTGATGAATACTAAAACAGGCCTATTTGAATACGAAAAAAAAAAGGCAATAAAGAAAATGTGACAAGCGTCCCGATAGCAGGACGGTGACAGTTACTCTCATCCATGGTCCCACACCAGTATTTGTGTCTCATATGTATGTAATATGTTATCTGGTTTAAGCTAGTCTAAAACGGTAATTTGCTAGTCCAAGTTTATCATAAATTGGGTGTTCCAAAAAATTCTCACCACCTTGCGCTTGTATAATCAAGATGGAGGCTTAATGACTGGCTTAGATCTGATGGAACAGCTACACAGGATTTTACTCTTTACAGGGTCATTTTCACCCCTTTTATTAAAATAGATTAACTAACAAGATTTTAACTTGTGGCTCCGTCTAAACGAGATGTGGAATGCACATTTTCTTTGACACCATTCACCTTATATATGATTGAGCGTATTCTTTTCACAAAATGGTCACAGGCCACCAAAAAAAAAAAAGTAATGAAAACTCTCACAGGAGTTTTGTGATATCCGGAATGGCTCAGAACTGGATGCTCACGTAATAGGATAGGACAGTCTTTTGGTTCATAGCCACAAATTATTCCTACAACAGGTGTAACCTGAGAGTACAAAGCTTTAAAACGAAGAATTTGAAGTCTTTCAAACTTGTTTTCTTTGTTACTTCCCACCCAGTGTTCCTATCTATTTAGACTTTTGGGTGGGGCTGCACCAACTCCCAGGCATTCCAAATCTGCCTAGAGAGGGAGAGTCTTCTTAAGTCTGAGGTTCCTTAACAGATTGCAAAATGGGGTCCCACTGTTGTTGGTATTTATTTACTTAAACTCAACTTTGATTTCTAGAGACTGAATGGAAATTTACAGAGCTTTGTTCTGTTATTTAGTTCATATACCACAAGAGGGGGATCAAACCTTAGCTTTTGTCCATGGTTCTGTGTTCAGAATCAGAAGGAAATAAAATAAATACTGTCATTTCCTGCTTGCTCTCATGTGGTATTCCAGGCAGAGGTTGGTTTATAAGTGATCTAGGAACAGATGTCTACAAACTAAATTCTATGCTGATATCAACAAAGCTGTTGTACATTCCACTACAAAGGGTAGCATGTATTGACACGCCTGCACTTGCAGAAGTACATATATTCGTACAGCTATGAAATGGCATGACCTTTCCGCTTGAGTTACATTCTGCAGCAATCTTCAGACAAAAGAGCACACCATTTATTTCCTGCAGATTATTTTAACACTGGTCTCATTTCCTCCTGGGTCTAGCTATATGGGTCTTTGATGAACATTTCCTTTTTTTTTTTTTTTTTATAACCTCAAATATTTATGAGAAATGTAAGAACACTGCCTTTTTGTTATTTGTTATGATATTCTACTCATCTTGTTCTAAATATGATGCCATAAACAAATAACGTGACCAATTACTAGTTTTGTATTACACAGTTTAGGTGTATTTTATGTCTCTGTCCCAATATTATAAATGACTATAAGAGTGTGCTTACACATCTATGTGGTGGAAAAATGCTGTGGACTTTAAACTTATTAACTGAGATAAGACTAATTTATCCCATAGTTAGCCCTAGATTTTGTCCCTGATTAAGACCAGGGAAAATCCATTGTTGTAGTTGATGCTGTTAAGTGTGAGAACATGGATACCCCTCTTACCATTAGAATCAGTGTCACAGATTACAACATCAACGTTCCACAGCCTCTTTTCCAAATGGCAAAAATGTTTATCAAATAAATGGTCACCAACACTTTTTGGTTACCAACATTCTTCAAAATATATATATATTTTTTTTCAAAGAAGAAAGGGTAACACTTCATTTTACAGTGTCCTTGTTACACATATTACATAGTAATAAAAGTAAATTATGCATAATTAGCCCAAACCCTAATCTTATAGTAAGTACATGTTGTTAATTAATATTACTCAGCCAGTAGGCTACTCATTTGTGTAATTACACTGTAACAAGAACATCTCAAAATAAAGTGTACCTGAAGAAATAAATGCATACAGGTTTGTAATGACATGACGGTAAGTAAATGATGACAGAAATTTTATTTTTGGGTGAACTGTCCCTTTAAGTGAGAGCAAGACAGGGCCATGAGGAAGACAATGTGGTTTAAAAATCTTCACAGGCAGACACATAGAGACAGGCTTCTGCTCCTTCAGGCAGACAGAGTGAGACAAGGTTAGACTCTCGCAGGCAGATAAAGTGAGACAGCGTAAGACTCTGCACAGCGGACGGAATGAGAAAGGGTTACTCTCTGCAGGCGGAGGGGGGAGGGGTGGGCTGAAGCCCTGCTACTTTGAGCGTGATCTTGAGTGAAAGAGAAAAAAAATGCTGAAAGTTACTCAACTCATTGCTCAGGCTTTGGGCCCAGTGAATGACAATAACTGTTGGCTACTGTTAGCCTGATATTTGTACTCTGATACTCGTATGGTTTATGATACCATTCCCTGCCTCTATAAAGGTGTATCTCAAATGGTTGTCCATGCTTGTATCCTGCAGAAAAACAAAACATCTGACAAAAACATTAACGCATTCTTCCAAATGAACATTCAGTCTTAACCCTCACCAAGGGAAAACCCTGTTTGTTTTGACTGGAACAAGTCTTGTTTAGGTTGGGTTGATAGGGAATTGAGCAATCACAAAATTTGGTGCAAATATTTCATGTTAATTCCACGGTTGTCATTATTCAGCATGTTATCCATTATTTCTCTTTTAAGGCTATTTGCATGTTTTTATTTTGCTTACATCTTGTAAGGGGTATTGCATCCAAAATATACTTATTTTTGGGTTCTGTAATCTGTAGAATTATGCTATATTGTTTCATGTTTATCACATAATCGTTTATTTACAAGATTATTTATATAATAGAAAATAGCAATAGTTTAGGTACATGATAACGAATCGGTTGCCTAACGAGTATTGCGTAAGCTAGCTTACGCTACGGGAAAGATTAATCTTTTCTGAGATATTGAAGCCAAAAATCCTAAAATTATCCTTAATTTTGTATCCATTGTCAACGCAGTGCAGCAGCTGCAGACCTTGAGCGGGATAGCTAGTGAGCTCATTGGTTGCTCTGCGGCAAACTGCTGCAGCCTATAGACGAACTTGAGTGAACTCGCGTCCAATGAGAGGCGCTCGCGCCTTCATCGCATCATAGCCCGCCAGAATGGGCGTGGCTAGAGTGTATATAAGCGAGGTTCGTAGGCTGCATCCCTGGTTTTCATTGAATGAAGCGAAAGGCGCTTGTGGCGCGAGCACGGCCGGCTACGCAATACTCGTTCCCTCATCTAGAGAGAACCGAGGTTACGTTAGGTAACCGATTTGTTCTCTTACGAGAGGTTCTCTCGTATTGCGTGAGCTAGCTTACGCTACGGGAACCCATTGTCAACGCCGTGCGCGCCAAGCATCCACTGCATGAGCCCCGGGGGGACCCCGGGGAGCCCTATGAGTGGGGGAATAATATTTGGCCGGCAAGAGTGCGGGCCAGTGTGTATGTAATACATAAGCACATAGTGGGAAGAGAAGACAGAGCGGCGGTGCCGGTCTGTGTGGAATGTGTCCCATCAGTGCAGCTCACCAGGAGAGCTGTAGCGTATTAAACCGCTAGTAATTTTGCCTGCAGGGCGGGCACTTCCAGATTGTAAAATCTGACAAAGGTGGAGGGGAAAGCCCAGCCCGCTGCCACACATATGTCGTGAATGGCCATGCCTCTAGAGGAGTGAGCCCTAATGCCTAACGGGCATGGCAGGTCTTTTGACG